TTTTGAAATTGTGTATTTCAATTGTGACTAGAGTTTGTGAAACATTCTGAAATAAATATGTCATTAAATGAAATAAAGAAAACAACTAAATTATATCTGATGAATTTTGACGACCTTGTCCATGGTATTTTTTCACATATTTAATATAAATACTCTCACATGCCCCAAAACTTTTAGACATCCACTGATCAAACAATTTCCAGAATAAAGACTCAATTTGATGCAAAGTTTTTCTCTAGATTGCTGATTTACAAGACTTGCTCTAGTTCTCCTTTCGATAAATAGTTACAACAGCTTGACCTTGACACCCTGAAATAAATATATATTCTCATGTGATAACTTTGATCAAAATCTGTAAGGAAATGAAGTACCTAGAGTGATGATACTGAATCATTTGATGACTTTCTATATATAGTAAAAGTGACCTTGGCCTTGACCTTTGAACCCTAAAATACAGACATGTCAGGGGTATTTTCATATCTTACATTTGCGTAAAGTTTTATCGAAATCTGCCAAAGAATGAAGCTGCTAGAACTTGTTTACATTGAATCGCGATGCGACGGGGCGGTACAGGACAGAGGGGACGGGGCGGTATGGGACAGAGGGGACGGGGCGGTACACTCGGGACAGAGGGGACGGGGCGGTACAGAACAGAGGGGACGGGGCGGTACAGGACAGAGGGGACGGGGCGGTACAGGACAGAGGGGACGGGGCGGTATGGGACAGAGGGGACGGGGCGGTACGGGACAGATATGACGGCGGGCGGTACGGGACAGATATGACGGGGCGGTACATGGGCAACACTGGCATAATAACAGTTAAACCATAGCATGTTGAAGACATTGGAATCATGCAAATCTGAGATATCAACTATTTAAACATCCATGGAAATCAAGTGACATGGTCCAACACAGGACTTATAGATAACAATATTGGAGATGTCAGTATTCAAGGAATAGTCAGACCACAGATGAGTCCGGGCTATTGTTGGATAGCCTTACGGAGTCTGGGAGTAATAACAAGGAAACTGCCCGTGGTGATACCACGCTCCATCAGTAAAATATTCCAGACATTCTAGACAAGACATCGTCTCTAATGAATAAAAGCGTATATCACTTGAGCCAAACTTGCTTTTCTTTCACCTAATAGGTGAGTTTGGTTTCCTCTGGGCCTGGCCATTAGAAACTCTAAAGTTTAGCAATAAGTGGAGGGGTTGTATAAGACTTATCTTTGTTTGTTTAGCAAAGCCAAGTGTGTTCAGGTTACAGGCTGCTATGATTAATGTGCGTGTCTAAATATAACCAGTGAAAACTGATGGAGGAAAGGGATCAGGGGACTTCTCAAAACCAAATTCAAGTAGTAAAGTAAATATATTACAAATTATTATAAATTGGGTCAAATTATACCATTTCCCTTTATTCTCAAAGCAGGTTTCTGTGTTTATAATTCCTTTTTTTTATTCGTTCACTGTTGGACATCAGCCTAGAGGCTGACGATACATATGATCTCGATAAATAGCCATTTGCCTGCGTCCAGTATTAATATTATATTATTGTTATTTATCGGTTATACACATTTGAAACTTATGTTTTCATATATGTTGAAATTCTGTTCTCATCATTTTTCTCTTCTAAAAGTGATTAATTATTTAAATGGATATTCAATAACCTTTCCCTTGACCTGTAAAGGCAAAATTTTATCAATGTAAACCAGGTTAAATGTTTCCTTGTCATACTTTTCCAAGTGCTTAACATGCAGCACTAGAATTCCTGCACCAATGACCTTTGACCTATATATTAGAGCCATCACCCTAGGGATATCCTTCTCTCACTTTGTTGTTGCAGACAGACAGATATATACATACTGTCAGCTTTAATCAACAAAGTGTGTTGTTAACCTGTCAACACCTAATGTATCTGGGTTCCTGGGGGAAATTCAAAGTTCAATTTACTAGTCTTCCCATATAGCAGTTTTTGTTGAAGTTTTACCAAGTATTGAAAGTGTATTTTGCAGTAAAGCAGCTGAGGCTAGACAAATCTACTGCTGTGTTTCTGAAATAAGGCTAGACAAATCTACTGCTGTGTTTCTGAAATAAGGCTAGACAGAACTACTGCTGTGTTTCTGAAATTCATGTTAATAGTTAAAGTTCTACACTGCCAAACAGTTAAAATAACATCCTAAATTTATAAAATACAATGTCTACCTGAATAGCTTCAAAAGCAAATATCCAAACATGTTTTGTTTAATATTACCTATGCAGATCCTGCCTGAGTAAGGTATGTAAAATCAATAATATAGTTATAGAAAAACCTGGAACATTATTTTCAAATTATTTTATTTGAAATGGCTTATTAATGTTCCAACAATCATCTGAAAAGTCATTCTTGCTGAAGTTAATATCATGATTACTTGCATTAGTGAAAGGGATGGTTGGTCTTACTTTCATTTTTCAGGCTAATCAAATAATCCCACAAATTGCTAATTTTCTACCAAATTTCGGATCGGCAGTAGATTTTCTCCATTGTGCAATTGTGAATTTTTATAGAGTTGACAGGTAACACAATGAGGAATGAGTTAGTGGAGGCATACGTATAGTGGGTGTAATAATCTGTATACTGATGTGAAGGTTGTTAGTCTGGGCCCTGTATACAGAGGTGAAGGTCGTTAGTCTGGGCCCTGTATACTGAAGTGAAGGTCGTTAGTCTGGGCCCTGTATACTGAGGTGACGGACATTAGTCCAGACCCTGTATACTGAGGTGAAGGTCGTTAGTCTGGGCCCTGTATACTATGGTGAAGGTCGTTAGTCTGGGCCCTGTATAATGCGGTGAAGGTCGTTAGTCTGGACCCTGTATACTGAGGTGAAGGTCAAGTCCTGACCCTGTATACTGAGGTAAAGGTAGAGACCCTGACCCTGAATACTGAGGTGAAGGTCATTAGTCTGGGCCCTGTATACTGAGGTAAAGGTCGTTAGTCACGGCCCTGTATACTGAGGTGAAGGTTATTAGTCCAGACCCTGTTTACTGAGGTGAAGGTCATTAGTCTGGGCCCTGTATACTGAGATGAAGGTCATTAGTCTGGGCCCTGTATACTGAGGTGAAGGTCATTAGTCCAGATCCTGTTTACTGAGGTGAAGGTCATTAGTCCAGACCCTGTATACTGAGGTGAAGGTCATTAGTCACGGCCCTGTATACTGAGGTGAAGGTTATCAGTCCAGACCCTGTTTACTGAGGGGAGGGTCATTAGTCTGGGCCCTGTATACTGAGATGAAGTTCATTAGTCTGGGCCCTGTATACTGAGGTGAAGGTCATTAGTCCAGACCCTGTTTACTGAGGTGAAGGTCATTAGTCTGGGCCCTGTATATACTGAGGTAAAGTAGATACCCTGACCCTGTATACTGAGGTGAAGGTCGTTAGTCTGGGCCCTGTATACTGAAGTGAAGGTCGTTAGTCTGGGCCCTGTATACTGAGGTGACGGACATTAGTCCAGACCCTGTATACTGAGGTGAAGGTTGTTAGTCTGGGCCCTGTATACTATGGTGATGGGCGTTAGTCTGGGCCCTGTATACTGATGTGAAGGTCGTTAGTCTGGACCCTGTATACTGAGGTGAAGGTCGTAAGTCCTGACCCTGTAAACTGAGGTAAAGGTAGAGACCCTGACCCTGAATACTGAGGTGAAGGTCATTAGTCTGGGCCCTGTATACTGAGGTAAAGGTAGAGACCCTGACCCTGTATACTGAGGTGAAGGTCGTTAGTCTGGGCCCTGTATACCGAGGTGCAGGTCATAAGTCCTGACCCTGTATACTGAGGTGAAGGTCGAAGTCCTGACCCTGTATACTCAGGTAAAGGTAGATACCCTGACCATGAATACTGAGGTGAAGGTCGTTAGTCTGGGCCCTGTATACTGAGGTGAAGGTCGTAAGTCCTGACCGTGTATACTGAGGTGAAGGTCGTTAGTCTGGGCCCTGTATACTCAGGTGAAGGTCGTTAGTCTGGGCCCTGTATACTGAGGTGAAGGTCGTAAGTCCTGAGCATGTATACTTAGGTGACGGTCGTTAGTCTGGACCCTGTCTACTGAGGTGAATGTCATTAGTCCAGACCCTGTATACTGATGTGAAGGTCGTTAGTCTGAGCCCTGTATACTGAAGTGAAGGTCATTAGTCCTGACCCTGTCTACTGAGGTGAAGGTCGTTAGTCTGGGCCCTGTCTACTGAGGTGAATGTCATTAGTCCAGACCCTGTATACTGATGTGACGGTCGTTAGTCTGAGCCCTGTATACTGAGGTGAAGGTCATTAGTCCTGACCCTGTATACTGAGGTGAAGGTTGTTAGTCTGGACCCTGTATACTGAGGTGAAGGTCGTTAGTCTGGGCCCTGTTTACTGAGGTGAAGGTCATAAGTCCAGAGGCTGTATACTGATGTGAAGGTCGTTAGTCTGGGCCTATATACTGAGGTGAAGGTCATTAGTTCTGACCCTGTATACTGAGGTGAAGGTCATTAGTCTGGGCCCTGTATACTGAAGAAAAGGTCATTAGTCCAGACCTTGTATACTGAGGTGAAGGTCGTTAGTCTGGGCCCTGTATACTGAGGTGAAGGTCATTAGTCCAGAACCTGTATACTGATGTGAAGGTCGTTAGTCTGGACACTGTATACTGAGGTGAAGGTCATTAGTCCAGACCCTGTATACTGAGGTGAAGGTCGTTAGTCCAGACCCTGTATACTGAGGTGACGGTCGTTAGTCCAGACCCTGTATACTGAGGTGAAGGTCGTTAGTCCAAACCCTGTACACTGAGATGAAGGTCGTTATCCTGACCCTGTTTACTGAGGTGAAGGTCGTTAGTCTGGGCCCTTTATACTGAGGTGAAGGTCGTTATCCTGACCCTGTATACTGAGGTGAAGGTCGTTAGTCTGGGCCCTTTATACTGATGTGAAGGTCGTTAGTCTGGGCCCTGTATACTGAGGTGTTGTTAGTCCTGACCCCGATTATATGGGTGCCTATACCTACACTTTGACCACAGGGCGTGGTATCTTAGGGGATGATTGATGCACAGACTGGGGAGATGAATTTCGTAGTAACTTTGGGGATGATTGAAGCTGCCTCAGAGGGGACTGTTGTGGTACTGGGGGTGGAGGTAAGGGGGGACGATCCAATCTGAAAAAGGGCATGTACTTCATAACATCAAATACAGTTTACTACTGGTACTTACTCAACCTCCATTACTCTTGAGTTAAAGTATAGACATTTCTGTAGTTGTACCAGAAAATCCTATAAACATTGTTTAACTATCAATTACTCCCGAGTTAAAGTAAATAGACATTTTCCAGGGTTGTACCAAAATATCTGATATATATTATTCAATTATCAATCAATGAAATAAACCATATCTCAAAATGTATTTTAACACTATGAAAGGGATATAGACATTGATTTATCACTATAAAGGAAGATAACCATCAATTTAACACTGTGAAAGGACAATCATATTGTGTCAATTAAAAGTTGTGAAAGGGAGATAACAATAATTTTAACAAACACAGTAGAAAGGGTGCAGCACAGCACACTTTTGAGAAATGAAGCACAGCATTTCATTCTGCGAAATGAGCCATAAAACAGTTGAGAAGTGAAGCAATTTAAATGCTGTGACAAGGGAGACAACCTGAGGGTTACCAAGCTGAGAGATTTGCAGAAGTGATTGCAGAGTTAGCAAGTGTTCTAGGTTAAAAATGTTATATGTTTTTACATACACTTTGACCCCAGCTCGTGGGATCTGAGGTGACTGACGCAAAGTCTGGGGAGGTGAATGTCGCGGTAACGGGGGTGTAGTCTCAGAGTAGGGTATCGGAAGAGGTTGTTGCATTGGTATCGGGGGTGGAATGTGGTCCACAAATCTGAAAAATGCCAGACACATTTTAACAATATACACAAATAATTTTGTTGTATTCCAATCAACTGATTAAATCTCCAAACAAAGCTTTCTATCTTCAAGTCATATGATCTGAAACAAATGGCACATACACACAATATATATAAAATTGTTTTTGAATATAGATGACTGAATGAATCTATTCAGGATTAAGTTTATCCAAGAACCTCTTGGTGCTAACTTTGTTGTATTGTTTAGGTCATCAACAAGAACCACTTGGTGACCACATTATCGTATTGTTTAGTTCATCAACAAGAACCCCTTGGTGACAACATTATTGTATTGTTCAGTTCATCAACAAAAACCACTTGGTGACAACATTGTTGCATCGTTTAGTTCATCAACAAGAACCACTTGATGCTACATTGTTGTATTGTTTAGTTCATCAACAATAACCCCTTGGTGACAACATTATCGTATTGTTCAGTTCCTCAACAAAAACCACTTGGTGACAACATTGTTGTATTGTTTAGTTCACCACCATTATCACCCTGACGCTACATTGTTGCATTGTTTAGTTCATCAACAAGAACCCCTTGGTGACAATGTTTTTGTATTGTTTAGTTGATCAAAAAAAAAAACTTGGTGAAAATGTTTTTGTATTGTTTAGTTCATCAACAATAACCCCTTGGTGACAACATTATTGTATTGATTAGTTCCTCAACAATAACCCCTTGGTGACAACATTGTTGTATTGTTTAGTTCACCACCATTATCACCCTGATGCTACATTGTTGCATTGTTTAGTTCATCAACAATAACCCCCTGGTGACAATGTTTTTGTATTGTTTAGTTCATCAACAAAAAAACCTTGGTGACAACATTATCGTATTGTTTAGTTCATCAACAATAACCCCTTGGTGACAACATTATTGTATCGTTTAGTTCATCAACAATAACCACTTGGTGACAACATTGTTGTATTGTTTAGTTCACCACCATTATCACCCTGATGCTACATTGTTGCATTGTTTAGTTCATCAACAAGAACCCCTTGGTGACAATGTTTTTGTATTGTTTAGTTCATCAACAATAACCACTTGGTGACAACATTATTGTATTGTTTAGTTCATCAACAATAACCCCTTGGTGACAACATTATTGTATTGTTTAGTTCATCAACAATAACCACTTGGTGACAACATTATTGTATTGTTTAGTTCATCAACAAAAACCGCTTGATGTTTCATTGTGGTATTGTTTAGTTTATCAAGAATAACCCCCATGGTGACAACATTGTTGTATTGTTGAGTTTATGAAATCATTAATAACCCATTGGTGACAACATTGTTTTAAGGTTTAGTTCATCAACAAGAACCCCTTGGTGACAACATTGTTATATTTTGTTCATCAACAATAACCCCTTGGTGACAACATTGTTATATTTTGTTAACCAACATTAACCCCTTGGTGACAACATTACTATATTGTTTAGTTCATCAACAATAACCCATTGGTGACAACATTGTTGTATTGTTTAGTTTATCAACAATAACCCCTTGGTGACAACATTGTTATATTTTGTTCATCAACAATAACCCATTGGTGACAACATTGTTGTATTGTTTAGTTTATCAACAACAAGAGGCCCATAGGGCCTGTATCGCTCACCTGGATTATCTAAGCAATCATGGCAGAATATTCTCCAAATGAGATCCATGGGAATATGCCAGACCCCAAGGCCAATCCTTGTAGCATATATATCTGTATTCAATTTTTCATGCCCAGCAATTTTATGTATGGTTATGGGGTGGGGATCTCAACTGTTTCCAATCTGTGACTCAGAAACTAGGTCCCTATGATCAATTCTAATATCATGACTGCATTTGTCTCTTTTTGCCCAGCATTTGTATATATAGTTTTTGGGTGGGGATCTCAACCGTTTCAAAGTTATGACCCAGGGGTTAAGTATCCAAGGGTGGGGCAGTCCCCAAAGCCATCCTGGAAGCATATGTGCATTCATCTCTTTATACTCAGCAATTGTCTATATGGTTATAGGTCGGGGATCTCAACTGTTTCCAAGCTGTGACTAAGAAACTAGGTCCCTAGGGGTTCGGTCAGACCCCAGGGTCTATTCTAATATCATGACTGCATTCGTCTCTTTATGCCAAGCATTTGTATATATAGTTTTGGGGTGGGGATCTCAACCGTTTT